GTCAAAATACCACACAGATCATGTTTTATAACTCTCTGAATTAGACCCTTTTAGGCTTTGATCCTCATTGTGCCATTTTGGTGGCTGTCGCGTTAAATGCAAATGAGATTGTGCTCTTTTCAAAAGAGGGCGGAGCTACAAACGCCTGTGTGTCGGCATAGTGGCAGAATCGAAAACAAGACTAACGCTATCTGTGTGAAAATGTGTGCGTCAGTCGATGGAGTGTTCATTTGTGCTTCATCTAAAACTCTGCATTTCTAATCCTCTTAGTCTAGGCTGACATTGTCTTCAGCGGCTGCTTCTCACTTAGGGCTGTTTATGCTAATTAGGGAGAGATGGTCACTAGTGGGCGGGGCTTTCTACCTCTGATGACATGTACAAAGGGAGAATGTCAATTGAAGTATTTCAGTTTATATCAAGTCTGATTATAAAAAATAAAATTAATAAATATTTACTATTAGAAGCTGGTTTTATTATATATAAATAACAAAAAAAATCCAAAATTTGCATGCATTTTAAGATTTGTGCTTTTATTTATCACACACTCCAGAGAGCACTGATTTCTCTGAGGCTTGACCTTGACAACATCTATGTGATCTGGAAGGTTTTCGTCTCACAGATTACAACTGAAAGCATTTCCCTGGAGCAATCTCAGGGTAAGAGCTTTCTACAAGGGCATGATGATGATGATGATGAAAGGTCGTGGATCAGCGCTTGTGGGCTTTTAACCCACAACCTTTCAATTACTGACAAGCACTGATGCATTTCCCTGATCAGCAACTCACTGACCATCTACCACAGCACGATGCATCATTAGAGAAGTAAACTAAGTAGTCACTACTGCTTATTTTTTCGCATTCAAACATTTTCCAGCACATTTCCATTCACTGTTCCTCACTGGTGGAATGATCTTTTTCATTTCCATGCAGACTCTTTATTAGGGACCGAGCACCTACGGTGCGCAGGCCCTATTGGAATTGCTCCGTTTCTTATTCTTCTTCTTCTCCGGAATGAATCGCGATTTTTACAGACTAAACATGCCCGAAACTTTGCGCACGCCCCAGAAGTGGTGAAAAATTTACGTTTGATATGGGTTTCGAAGTGGGCGTGGCAAAATGACTCGACAGCGCCACCTATGCACTTTTGATGGACTGCCCCCGAGCTACGAATTACACACGCATGCGAAAATTGGCACACACCTCAAACACGCCAAAAAAAGTCTTTTGGAGCGGAATCTCAAACCCAACAGGAAGTCGGATATTTTTAACTTCCTGCAGCAAAAAAGTGCAGTTTTTGCCATTTCCAGGAGTTGTATTTTAACGAACTCCTCCTTGGGATTTTTTCGGATCAACACTAAAATTGCGTTTTGTCATCTAAAGGCCTTGACAATGTTGATTTGCGAAGATCTAGAGTTTTTCGTCGAAGGGCGTGTCCGTGGCGGCTTCGCAATCTTCGACAAATCGCCACGAAACAGGAAGTTATTATAACTCAGCCAAACAATGTCCGATCTGCCTGAAAATTCACATGGATGATAAGATTCCTCTACTGAAGGCATCTACATGCCAATCGTGAGTCACAGTTATAGTGCCACCTGCTGACAGGGGAAAGTTTGGCATAAATCTGTGATTTTCTCAGGTTATTTATATATATATATCGGCTTAAATTAATGCTGTTCGCTGTTCTCTGTCATCCTGAGGCCACCGGGCGGCGGCCCTATCATCGCTGCTTGCAGCTTTAATTCACTATTATCATTCAAATGAAAAATTATTATTAGGATCACTTCACCTTCAATACTCTAGCACTTAATTCTATGAGCACTATCAGTTCCTTTGTGTAATCAGCTCTTTTTGTGTGTATTGCCTCTTCTTGTTGATCGCTGAATGCCTCCTCAACTGTAAGTCGATTTGGACAAAAGCATAATGACTAAATGACTAAACGCAAATCAGGAAAACAGGTTTTTAATAGCAGGAGTGTCTTTAATCTCAGTGCATGGTATGTACTATATATGCTTGGGTTGAAGCTGTCAATCTTCATTATTTCTTTTAACAGAAGAGCATTGCTAATGATGGCGTAAAGAAAACTCTGGCATAAATCAGATCAGTTCGATTAAAATGTGCATATATGAGCTACACAAAACTGAACAAAATATTAACAAAACATTTGAGAATATGCAAATACTTTAAAACCAATGGTTGGATTTTAGACTGACTAAGCAGCAAAAAAAAAAAAAAAAAAAAAAAAGTGTAGTCTTACCATCTATATTTTATACATTAAAGCAGTGTTTCTCAACTGGTAGGGTCGCAGGAACATTTTCAGTGGGTCGCGTAGTGTGTGTTTAAAAAAAAACTACAAAAGTTACATTTTTTACTTATTTTGCTTATACCGGACTTTTATTTTGAAATGCTTGCGCAACAACCATACCGTTTGACATGTGAAATTTCATTTAATTGTTGCAACAAATATGTCAAGCGCAAGTATGACCCCGAATATGTAAAGTATGGATATATATATTGACGACAAAAAAGACTTAAAGCCTCGGTGTCATATGTAGTGAGGTGCTCTCATAAGAGCATGAAACCTTCTAAACTAAAACAACATTTAGAAACCAGAAAACATGTTTTATTAACAGTTTAATATTAACAGTATTTGTCGTTTTTACTTTGTAATATTTCTATAATTTGATCCATTTTGTTAAATGACAGCAATAAAATAGTGTTTATTTGTAAGTCTTGGTGAATTTCTTATGATATATCTGTCACTACTTGTTTATGTTAAAAATAAATACAAATAAAGTATAATCGCTAAAATTGTTGTATAGTTTCTAAAAAATGGTCAAACCAGTAAAGAACCCCTGCATTAAAGGGTCATGAACCCCCTCTCTTTCAGTTTAAATCTACCTCAGATTTAAAAAAAAAAAATGTTATATGATGGGTGTGGAGCACTGCGAGCAGAGGGAGGAGTGGGCGTGGCCAGCGGAAAAAAGGGGGGAAAATAGGGGCGAACAACTCACCAGCTAAAGACAAAAAAAAAAATCAGACACAAACCGGGAGATGCATGATTTTATAGTTTACAAAGTTCAAATGCAAAGAAATAAACAGTAAATAATTTATTTCCCTGTTACATATACAAAAAGCTATTCGTAATTTCATATAATTTATTCGCAATTTACTACAATTTATATAGCATTCTATCATTATATACAGTAGCTGCGCAAGCTTACTGGCGCTCTAGGTAAACGATAGTTGTCAGTGTTCGTGCCTCCCTTTCGCGGTCAAAAGTGAAGACCCGGTGGGGGTTGGGTTGTTTGTGGAGGTGTCGCGGACGAAAATCTAGGGGCCCTATCATACACCCGGCGCAAGGCGCGCGCAATTGTTTGCTAGTTTCAGATTGGCGCATGAGTCGTTTTGATGCATTGCAGCACGCTGTTTAAATGGCAAATGCATTTGCGCTTATATGTGCGACCATAGGCATTCTGGTCTAAAAAAGGAGACGTGTTGAAGTGCATTGCTGGCCCGTTGCTATTTTGAGGAACTAAAATAGTCTGTTCAATAGACCAGCTTAGAGGTGGTCTAAAGTCCAGCGCAGAGCGCGTTAGTTGTACGCCTCGCTTACACGCTTAATACACACAGGATATAAAACAATACGCACATGAAAAAGAATGAAATTAAAAGAATTTACAAATGAAAAGAATTAAAGGATTAAAATAGTACAAAATTGTTATTTTCTAGCCTACATAAATATAAAAACCACTGCCTCCATGCCTTCTTCACCTCGGGGGGCTTTTCCAGTTTATTCATAACAATTTGCTTTTGTATAATGTTATTATTCTTAGCTGCATTATTTATTATATGCATATTTATATTTGTTTTATTAAAAACACCTGTCAGGTTTAGACCATATGGGGCACAGCATGTGTTTTAGGATATAACTCAGTTTTTTGTTTATTTATTCGTTTGCTGGAAATTAGAACTGAATATAGAGATAGTTTTGAAACAAATCTTTGCGCTTAATAAACGAAATTAATTATGTATAGGTTAAGGGATGTCTGTGCGCGTTTCCCTATCCACGAGAGCGAAAGTGAAAGTAAAGAATGAGGAGGCTCATCTCTCATTTTTTTTTGCCAGATGATTAATAATAATAATAATAATAATAATAATAATAATAATAATAATAATAGTAATAATAATATTAATAATTATTATTATTATTATTATTATTATTATTATTATTATTATACAGTAACAATTTGTAAAATGAGAGCAATAATCTGTATAATTGCAGTGTTAATTTGTAAAATAGCAGTAATTATCAGTGTTTTTTTTTTCATTTTTTCACAGTTTAAATATAAATTATCAACAGTAATAAACTGTAATTTCATGAATTTTGTCCGTAAAGTATGTTCTTTATTTTTCCCGTTTTTATCTTGTAATTCTGTGACATCCTGCTGCCAGTCTTTTGACCATTTTTTTACATGTTTTTTTTTTTACAGTGTGGACTGAACTAAACTGATCTCTGAAAACAGGACTGAAGCAGTTTCATTCATTCATTCATTCATTCATTCATTCATTCATTCATTCATTCATTCATTCATTCATTTTCCTTTGGCTTAGTCTGAACCGCCAACTATGCCAGCATATGTTATATGCAGCAGATGCCTATTCAGCCGCAACTGAGTACTGGGAAACACTTCTACACATGCACACACACTCGTGAACTAAGGCCAATTTAGTTTATCAATTCCCCTACAGCGCATGTGTTTGGACTGTGGGAGAAACCGGAGCACCCAGAGGAAACCCACAGCAACATGGGGAGAACATGCAAACTCCACACAGAACCAGGCTCGAATCAGCGACCTTTTTGCTGTGAACCACTAAGCCACCTTGCCACCTTGAAGCAGTTTCAGTTTACTAGAACTTCCATGCTAAGCTGCTTTGACACAATCTCCACTGTAAAAGCGCTAGAGAAATCAAGATAATGTGGAAATTGAACATCAACATTACCTGCCTGGCGTCCTGTATCTGCTTCCGGATCACTTCTTTGATAGTCGGGCTGTTCTGCCTCGGCGGATGAAATAGCAGGTCAATGCTGGTCTCCAGTTTTCTGAGCGGGACATCCGGCCAGCCTAAATCCAAGTTTGGTGGGTCGGTGTCAGAATGAGTGGGCCAATATGTCCCAGTAGATGTGTTATCGTCCCGCGGACAGTCCACCTCTTCAGAGTGGTTCCCGGTTGGCGGCTGTACGGCGTTTTCTGATATATGCTGGATCTCCTCCGGAGAGAGAAAATCACCTATGCCTTCTTCTTTGATGAAACTCTGATAAGACGCTTCTCCATCTTTGACCAGGCAGTCTATGGCTAACCGATACGCTTCCTTGTAATGCGGCTGGATGTAATCTTCAGGCTTGAACTCTCCCTTTGAGGAGGAGAGTAGAGAAAAGTCGGATTCCATCACCGTGACCATCTGGAGTCCTTAAAAACACCACACAGCCTTAGGAAAGACCTAGAAAACAACACAAACACACATCGTTATTAACCCTTGTGTGCTGTTGGGGATGTTTTCATCCACTCTGGGGTGATTTTGAGTCTTTATTTGGCCTCAGCTTTCTCTGTGTTTCAGCACATGAAATGATTTTGGTGGCAAATCTTATTTAGACATACAGTTGAAGTCAGAATTATTAGCCCCCCTGAATTATTAGCTTCCCTGTTTATTTTTTCCTCAATTTCTGTTTAACAGAGATTTTTTCAACACTTTTCTAAACATGATAGTTTTAATAACTCATTTCTAATAACTGATTTATTTTATCTTTGTCATGATGACAGTAAATAATATTAGACTAGATATTCTTCAAGACACTTCTATACAGCTTAAAGTGACATTTAAAGGCTTCACTAGGGTAATTAGGTTAATTAGGCAGGTTAGGGTAATTAGGCAAGTTATTGAATGATGATGGTTTGTTCTGTAGACTATCAGATATAAAATTTACTGAAAGGGGCTAATAATTTTGTCCAAAAAAAATGTGTTTAAAAAATTAAAAACTGCTTTTATTCTAGCTGAAATTAAACAAATTAGACTTTTTCCAGAAGAAAAAATATTATCAGACATACTGTTAAAATTTCCTTGCCCTGTTAAACATAATTTGGGAAACATTTAAAAAAGTAAGTAAAATTCAAAAGGGGGCTAATAATTCTGATTTCAACTGTATATTTTGGGAAAATACTTTAAAATGTTAAAAAAAATTCAACAATACCTGTCAAACTTTGTGTTTTCCCTGGAATTCCCCGTATTTTACAGTTCTATCCCACTATCATCCCGTAAAGGTATTTTCCCATATTTTTAGTCTTTCTCTGAAGGGTGGCAATAAACATGAAAGAGACCATCCTTCCTTTGTGCTACCCATATCACCAAACCACCAGGGGGCGCCTCTTGCTCTAAAAAAGTCTGCTCTGTGCTTTAATTTTATTAAGGCATGAAAACACTTTGAAATAACTACAATAACGGCGAGATTGCCTTCCTTTTCATCACAGGTGTCGTCATTCCTTCTATGCAATCCTTAAGACAGTCATATAGCAGTGCGTGACTGTCAGCTGACGAGCTCCATAGTGATAAACAGACGTTGTTTCCCAATTGGATTCTGTGCACACAATTTCAAGCAGAGCGAAAGTATGGCTTTTGGGTGCATCTTCGAATGGTTTAAACAGACATATACACATAATTAATAATAATAACATTTAAAGATGTGGATCTTGGTGGGGGTTTTTTTCTCAAACACAACTAATTTTGTCCTAAATGAGCATGAAAATTTAGGAAAGCAGTCGAATGCTTTAAGTATAACGTTAGATGTGTGCAATTTTAACATTACACCTCTTTTATTTAATGAAATCCAAAGAAAAATTTAAATAAATAAGAGATACCTCCGTTGCTCTTTAATCAGAATGTGTAAGTTGTGCAGTGAAGAAATTATTAATGACATTTGATAACTTGGTTCTATTTCTTTATAAGAGCTATTAATTGTAATAAACTAAACTGTTTGCTAATATATTTGGTGCCAGTGTAGACTATTATATAAATTAAACAACTCCGGATATATTTATTTATTTATTTCCAATTTTTTATTTAATTAATGTTTTTTTTGGGGGGGGGGGGGGGGGGGTTATGATGTGGTCACATGCTGATTGGTCAGTTTGAATGTCTCAGTATTTGGGCTTAGGTCACATGGTCAAAAAATAGTTGGTAAACTTTGCTCTGCCTCTTTTCCTGCTCTGCGCTTTTTTGCTGTGAGGCGATTGTGCTACTCACTGTGCCACTGTGACCCAAAAAATGAATGAATAAATAATAATAATAATGGGCACAGCAAGAAGGTTGCTGGTCCGAGCCCTGGCTGGGTCAGTTGGTGTTTCTGTGTGGAGTTTGCATGTTCTTCCTGTGTTGGTCTTGGTTTTCTTGGGGTGCTCTGGTTTCCCCCCACAAGCCCAAACACATGCGCTATAGGGGAATTGGATAAACTAAATTGGCTGTAGTGTATGAGTGTATGGGTGTTTCCCAGTACTAGGTTACACTTGTAAGGGCATCCGATGTGTAAAACATATGCTGGATAAGTTTGCGATTCATTCTGCTGTGGCGGCTCCTAATAAATAAAGAGACTTAGCCGAAGGAAAATGAAATTAAATAATAATATGAATTAGGAAATATGTCAACAGGAATCATAAAAGGAGGCTTGTAAAGTCATTAAGTATTATTATTACTACTTTAGAATAGTTATCAATAACAACTCTATGACACACTGTGTTGTGGTATCTCAACAGTGATATGATCCTGCATAATGTGACCCTGAACACAAAGCCAGTTTAAAGGGTTTTCTGAGATTTATACATCATCTGAGATCTGAATAAATGAGCTTTCCAGTCATGTATGGTTTGCTAGGGCAGGATCATTTGGCTGAGATGCAACGCTTTGAAATCTGAGGGTTAAAAAAAGGTACATATTGAGAAAATCACCTTTTAACGTTGTTCAAAGTTTGAGTTTCAGTTGAGCAATGTATATTACTAATCTCACAGAGCTTTACTCGCTATAAACATACATTATTTTTTAAAGCGATTGGTCAGCTTTTCTGTTCACAATCTGCATTTTCTAGTCTGAGTGAGTGATCTCTCCAGATGCAGCATGTCCTGCTGATGGTGAAACCGTCAGTGACTCAATGTTCCTGCGATGGGGAAGCTGCTGTAATTACTCCTATCTTTGACTGAAGATGTGGGAAAATGTTCATGTTATTGCGTCACGATAGTTAGTTACTGAGTCAGGCTTTCAGAAACAAGAACAATCGTTTAAACTCAAAAACGTCTTGAAATTAGACTGCTGCGCTCTCTGAAATAGTGTATGCACTGATGTCACATCCCCCGTGAACATACACCTACACACACCCTTGAGGTTGGCAAAGTATTTCACCATTTAAAATGTTGCAGGTTGTAATAGCAGCATGACATTATACAGCAACTGACAATTATCAGCTTAAATTAACATGTAGTTTGACTTGACAGTTGAATGACCCATAATGAAACACTAAAAGTGCTGGGTTGTTGTGAAGTAAATGTTTATTTATATATCGCATGTGTTAAAAACTTGGCACTTTACTTGAAGTTGGCGTTCATAAGATTGTCATGAAATGTCAAGTTGATTATGACAACTGTTACTTAAGTATCATTTGCTCAGTTATGTCATTTTACATCCACATATGACATTGTTTGTCTGCGACACCCCCGACCTAATTAACCAGCTAACAACCAACCATTCAATCAATCAACCAACCGATCAATCAATCAACCAACCAACCAATCAACCAATTGACCATTCAACCCACCAATCAACCAACCGATCAATCAACCAACCAATTAATCGATCAATCAACCAACCAACCAACCTATCAACCAACCAATTGACCATTCAACTCACCAATCAACCAACCTATCAATCAACCAATCAACCAACCAACCATCCAACCAACCAAACCAACCAACCAACCAACCAATTGACCATTCAACCCACCAACCAACCAACCAACCAATTGACCATTAAACCACCAATCAACCAACCGATCAACCAACCAATCAATCAACCAACCAACCAACCAATTGACCATTCAACCCACCAACCAACCAACCAACCAACCAACCAATTGACCATTAAACCCACCAACCAACCAACCAACCAATTGACCATTAAATCCACCAATCAACCAACCAATCAACCAACAAACCAACCAATTGACCATTCAACCCATCAATCAACCAACCGATTACTCAACCGACCAATTGACTATTCAACCCATTAATCAATCAACCAACCAATTGACCATTCAACCCACCAACCAACCAACCAACCAATTGACCATTAAATCCACCAATCAACCAACCAATCAATCAACCAACTAACCAATCAACCAACCAACCAATCAACCAACCAACCAACCAATTGACCATTCAACCCACCAATCAACCAACCGATTACTCAACCGACCAATTGACCATTCAACCCATTAATCAATCAATCAACCAACTGATTCAATCAATCAATCAATCAATCAATCAACCAACCATGTATTCAATTAATCAATCATCCAACCAGCAATTTAATCAACAAATCAATAAAAAAATAAAAAGCAAGAAAGAAACTCCAGCCGGTTTGCAACAACAACTTAATTTTCAGTTTTAGGTGAGCTATCCCTGTAAGAGTGTATCTCTGCTGAGAAAGTCTGTAAAACCTGAAAAAAAATTATACAAATGACGACATTTGACTAATTACCCTGGAGCTGAAAGAACGTTATTTGATGACGAAGCTGACTGATTAATACCGCCAAACCCTTGTCTACTGACTATCCTGAGCTGTCAAGTATTTGAGTAAATGTATTACTGTAAGTATGTGGACTGCAAGACATCTACTGCGCAGTATATGTTAATTTACTTTATGACTAAACTTTTTTAATAGTCACTGTCTGAAGCTTGTGACTCACAGGTGTTCTTAAGCAACAATACTCAGGTAGGCTGTGGCATTGACATGTTACTCAGTTGGTACTAATGAGCCCAAAGTGTGCAAAGAAAACATCCCCCACACCATTACACCACCACCACCAGCCTGAACCGCTGATACAAGGCAGGATGGATCCATGCTTTCATGTTGTTGACACCAAATTCTGAGCCGAGCATCTGAATGTGTCCGCATAAATGGAGACTCATCAGAGCAGGCAACAATTTTTTTAATCTTCTACTGTCCAGATTTGGTGAGTCTGTGTGAATTGTAGCCTCGGTTTCCTGTTCTTAGCTGACAGGAGCGGCACCTGGTGTGCTCTTCTGCTGCTGTAGCCCATCCGCCTCAAGGTTGGCCGTGTTGTGTGTTCAGAGATGCTCTTCTGCAGAGCTCGGTTGTAACGAGTGCTTATTTAAGTTACTGTTGCCTTTCTATCAGCTGGAACCAGTCTGGCCATTCTCCTCTGGCATCAACAAGGCATTTGTGCACACAGAACTGCCATTCACTGGATATTTTCTCTTTTTCAGATCATTCTCTGTAAACCCTAGAAATAGTTGTGGAAAAAAATCCCAGTAGATCAGCAGTTTCTGAAATACTCAGAGCAGCCCGCCTGGCACTAACAACCATGCAACATTAAAAGTCACTTAAATCCCCTTTCTTCTGATGCTCAGTTTGAACTGCAGCAGATCATCTTGACCATGTCTACATGCCAAAATGCATCGAGTTGCTGCCATGTGATTGACTGATTAGAAATTTGCGTTAACAAGCACTTGGACAGGTGTACCTAATAAAGTGGCCGGTGAGTATAGGTTGTTTGTAATACAAATCACACTGTAAAAAATATCTGTATCTGAACAGTTTCTATATTTTTGTGATTCATTAGTGTTCATTTACGGTTGTGAAATGCATTATGGGATGTTGATCTCTGCTCTGTCGACTTTTAAGGTTGAAAATTGAACTCTACAGTTTAACAAAGTGACTTTTATTGACATTTTACATTGAAATAAGTCCAAGTGTGCATCATACAGAAAACTATAAAGGTAATTAAAATGTTATTTTCAAAAACCCCTTTCAGTGTTCATCATATTTCAGATTCATCCCATCAGGCATAATTAATTTGCTGAACTTGACTAGACTTGATCAGCAGATGCATAAAATCTCCCAAAATGTTCAACACGGCGTCCTCCTGAGCTCCACCTGCTCCAACATGGAGACTGAATCACAAGCTTTACTCAACCAAAACTAAACATTCATTCATTCATTCAGACATTCTTTCATTAATTTTCTTGACGGCTTAGTCCCTTTATTAATCCGGGGTTGCCACAGCGGAATGAACCGCCAACTTATCCAGCAAGTTTTTACGCAGCAGATGCCCTTCCAGCAGCAACCCATCTCTGGGAAGCAAAATTAAACACCACCTGTTAAATAGCTAATATTATACGGTGGGCTGCACCGTGGCTCAGTGGTTAGCACTGTGGCCTCACAGCAAGAAGGTCGCTGGTTTGAGTCCCAGCTGGGTCAGTTGGCATTTCTGTGTGTTCTGAGTTCTCCCTGTGTTGGCGTGGGTTTCCTCTGGGTGCTCCGGTTTCCCCCACAGTCCGAACGCATGCTCTGAGAATTGGTTAACTAAATTGGCCGTAGTGTATGAGTGTGAATAAGTGTGTATGGGTGTTTCCCAGTACTGGGTTGCGGCCGGAAGTGTCAAACACATGCTGGATAAGTTGGCGGTTCATTCCGCAGTGGCGACCCCTGATAGATAAAGGGACTAAGTCAAAGGAAAATTATTAAATAAACTTGCTTGTCAATTAAATCCCTTTTCATTATTTAACATGGTGGCGCAGTGGGTAGCACAATCGCCTCACATCAAGAAGGTCACAGGTTCGAGTCCCGGCTAGGTCAGTTGGCATTTCTGTGTGGAGTTTGCATGTTCTCACCATGTTGCCGTGGGTTTCCTTCAGGTGCTCCGATTTCCCCCCACAAGTCCAAACACATGTGGTACAGGTGAATTGGGTAAGCTAAATTGTCTCTAGTGTATGAGTGTGAATGAGTGTGTATGGATGTTTCCCTTGATGGGTTGCAGCTGCAAGGTCATCTGCTGCGAAAAACATATGCTGGATAAGTTGGCGGTTCATTCCACTGTGATTAATAAAGGAAATAAGCTGAAAAGGAAATGAATGAATGAAAATAATAATTTATTTTCTTCATGCTGATTTACATTAATTTGTGACTATAGGTCTATATAATCACCTTGCAATTTTTAAATTATTGCTTTTTTTCTTTTAAGTTGGCTATTCAGTTTATAAGATCAGTATTATAAAGTTTATACAATGTAAAATAAAATCAGTTGTTCACTGTATAAAAATATAACACTTTTATATTAAATATTAATATTTATCGGCTGATATATCCGTTATGGGTTATCAATATCGGCAAAAAAAATTCATTTTAGTGCATCCCACATTTTTTAGGGGTTTAAATGTCTTGCTGACAAATGGGTAAAATAACTGGTTTGAATTATAGTATCAAAGTACATACAGTACATAAAAATACTATTATTTATTAGTTTTTGGGCTCAGAGAGAGTCGTTTAATATGTCATCACTCTTGTTCTCAATGCTTGACAAATTCATTTGTTTTTCTTTGGCTTAGTCTGTTGTTTATTAGGAGTCGCCACAGCGGAATGAACCACCAACTATTCCAGCAAATGTTTTACGCAGTGGATGCCCTTCTAGCTGCAACACAGTACTGGGAAACACCCACACACTCTCACATTCACACATATACACCGAGGCCAATTTTGTTTGGACTGTGGGGGAAACCGAAGCACATGCAGAAACGCCAACTGGGACTCAAACCAGTGGCAGTACTAACCACTGAACCACCGTGACGCCTGCTTGAAAAATAAAACCTTCTTTTGTCTTTCACCCGTAACTGTGGGTATTTGCATTTTAATATATATTACTTTGAAAACTCATTTCATTAGCAAATGTCTCATTTCCATACACTTAATGCTAAAAGCTGACTTTGAGAGATAACAGCAAACTCTTTTCTAAGATTTGTTCAACTTACAGACAATAATACAGAAACATTACAAATAAAAGGCTTCTCTTAGGTTTTTTTTACTTGTTTTTTTGTATTCAAAATTCTTAGTCTACAAATTTGTAAATCAAGAAGCATTTTCTAGACAAGTAAAATAAAAAAAAATGTCTGTTTTTAAGCAAATCTTTCCTTAAATTAAGCAAATCAATCTGCCATAATGGTAGGCAAAATAAACTTGTTTTTAGATTATTTTATTTGCCACACTGGGAGATTATTTTTAATGAGAAAGTCGCATAAAGTTGGCTTTTTTTTCTGAAAACAAGACAAAAAATTGACCTCTTAATAATGCTTCTTGATTAAATTTTTTAAAACATGTTCTCTACACTGTAAAAAAAATCCTGGGTGTCTTAAATTTTTAAGCTGAATCAAATAAACCTCATGAGTCCACTGAACTTACATGATGTTAAACTGACTTAAAACAGCTTGTAATATTAGGTAAGAACACGAATAACTTCGTTTAATAAGTTAAAATGAACTAAAACATATGCTGTCAGGACTAACTGATCATATAATTTCTTAGAAATAAAAAAGAAAAGCTCTAAGAAACTCATTGTTTCCAAGAAAGTTCCAAGAAATGATGATTAATTTCAGTTCACTTCTCAAAACTAGTTTGTCACAGTATTGTCATGCACTGACATCACACTTAAACATTTCTTTCAGTATGCAAAACCAACACAAGACATTCAGTAAACTAACCTGTAAGCTGCACTTTCCAACTTTCGTTCTCTACATCCAAACAACCCAGTATCTGCTCCAGTAAGACATTCCCTTGCAAAAAAAAAGTGACTTACTTAGAGGGATCTCATCATTCAGCGTCTCTTAGCATTCTTATCCCGTGTTGCAGTGAAACATTGAGGTATTTCACAAGCCAAAAGGGAGTTTGCTAGTCTCTGATAAACCCTGAATGTGTCTGAACAGGAGAAGTGCTGAGAACCTGCTGAAGGGTGGAGACTCAAGTTTTCACATGCAAATAATGAGAGCGTCTCACTGGCCAGAGGCAGTAAACCTGTCCGACGCCGCACAGACACACCTCTTCTCTTCTCCTCTATCTATCTGTCGTCCCTTTCACAGAGTTCAGAGTGCACTGAGATAAAGCTGACAGTTTCTGTTTCTCGCTGGAGCCGCCGTCTTCTTACTGACAGAGGCCGTGTTTTGTAAATGTGACTTGAAATGTGTTTCAAGGACTAAATAAAGTCCCTCATGGCATGCAGGAAGGCAGCGTGTTTTAATGTTGAGGATTTTTTTGAGTGAATGAACTCTTTATTTTTGAGGGTGTGTTTTGATCTGTCAAAAAAATCATGTGCTGATAAAAACAGCATATGCAGGTTAGGTAGGTTTTAACGCATGGCTGCTAGTTTATGCTTGTTATACTTGCTGTTTTTTGCAGGGCCAGGAGGTGGTTTAAACTGGATCAGCAAAGAACCATCTTAAACCAGCTTATATCCTGCTTAACCAAGTTTAATCCAGCCAATGACCATCAAGAACAAGCTAAACCACGTCATGGCAAGCAGAAACCAGGTTAAACCATTTCATGATCAACACGTTCCAGCCTAAACCAACTCTTTAGCAGCAAGACTTATCTTAAACCAGCTCATGAGGAGCAAGAACCAGCTTAACTAGTTTAAACCAGTTCATGGCCATTCATAACATTCTTAATCTAACTATCGATGAGCTAGAACCAGCTTAATTAAGCTCATGACCTGAAGAAAAAAAAACAGCTTAAACCAGCTCACAGCCAGCAAGAACCAGCCTAAACCAACTCTTCAACAGCAAGTACTATCTGCAAGAACTAGCTTAAACCAGTTCATAGCCATCCATAACCTTCTTAATCTAACTCTTGGCCAGCTAGAACCAGCTTTACCAAGCTCATGACCAGCAAGTGCAAGCTTAAACGAGCTCATGCCCACCAAGAACCAGCCTAAACCAACTCTTCAACAGCAAGTATTATCTTAAACCAGCTCCAGATGAGCAAGAACACCCTTAAACTAGCTTAAACCAGTTCATGGGCATCCATAACCCTCTTAATCTAACCCTTGGCCAGCTGGAACCATCTTAACCAAGCTCATGACCAGCAAAAACAGCTTAAACCAGCTCATGGCCAGCAAGAACAAGCTTAAACCAGCTCATGACCAACAAGAACCAGCCTAAACCAACTCTTCAGCCAGTACTATCTTAAACCAGCTCATGATGAGGAAGAATCCAACTTAAACTAGCTTAAACCAGTTCATAGCCATGCATAACCTTCTTAATTTAACTCCTGACCAGCAAGAACCACCTTAAACCAACTCGTGGCCAGCAAAAACAGCTTAAACCAGCTTATGACCATCAAGAGCCAGCTTCAACCAACTCTTGACCAGCAAAAACAAGTTAATGAACAATACGTAGCAGCCTAAACCAACTTCAACAGCAGGAACTATATTTTAACCAGCCCTTTATTAGCAAAAACTAGCTTACACTAGTTTAAACTAGTTTATGGCTATAAATAACCAACTTAAACTAGTTCATGGACATCAAAGACCAGCTTAAACTAACTCTTGACCAACAATAACCAGCTTAACCCAGCTCATGACCAGCACAAATAAGCTTAAACCAGCTCATGACAAACAAAAACCAGCTTAAACCAACCTTTGACCAAGAACAAGCTTGAACCAGCTCATGTATGGCTGCATTTGGCCTTTATAACGAACACGATGGTGTGATGTCATTTCTTCCCGCGCCAGTAGCTGACCACTTATCTCTGTGTGTGTGGACGGCATTTCTGCTGTTAGCAGTTTGTCCAGTAGCTCGCCATGTACATCGGCAGACTTGAGACGCAGAGAGGAGTTGACCACAACGACGGGGTTTGAGCCTGGTGAAGAACGGTTCCAGAAAGCGGGTAAGATGAAAACACAAGCCAATGACAAATGACACTCGCAAGAGAAATTTGAGATCTGAACAAGCGTACACAGCGGCCTCTGGTGGATCTGCAAAAAACAAAAAAACAAAAACGTAGCTCCTGGGACATATTTGGCGCTCTCCAGAAATGTATATAGTGGTATGTTTTCAGGATGAGCCTGGGTTGTTGTTGTTTTTTTTTGCAAATCTGATGAAAGCTTAAGTGCTTTTTTTATTCTCACTTGTAAGTCTCTTTAGATAAAAGCATCTGCTAAATGAGTAAATGTAAATGCAGCTGAGCTGCTGTGCAAAAGCAATGATTTAATCTTAAAGGATCAAGCGTGATGCAGGAGAACGACAGGAATACTAACAGCACAACACAGAGATCCTAAAGCGATACTTTTGATTACACTTTACACCAAGGTTTTCTCACGTATTAATATTAGTTAGCGGATTAGCTTACAGTATAATTATTTTTAATAGAATGCATTAACCTTGTCATATTACATATTAATTCAATTCAATTCAATTCAGCTTTATTTGTATAGCGCTTTCACAATGTAGATTGTGTCAAAGCAGCTTCACATAAATGGTCATAGTAACTGGAACAGTGTGGTTCAGTAACTGGAACAGTGTGGTTCAGGTTTTAGTGTGTAAGTTCAGTTCAGTTCAGTTTAGCTCAGTTCAGTGCGATTTAATCATTACTGAGAGTTCAAACACTGAAGAGCAAATTCATTGATGCGTAGCTCTACCAATCCTGAACCATGCGAGGCAGTGGCGACAGCGGAGAGGGAAAAAAAACTTCACCTGATGGGAGTGAAGAAAAAAAACCTTGAGAGAACCAGACTCAGTTGGGCACGACCATTTTAATTTCTCCGCTGGCCAAAAGTCTTGTGCAGAACTTCATTCGCCGTGGTTTATGCTGGAAGATGGCCTCAATGAAGACTTGTCTGTCCCTGGAGCGTCGCTGGAATCAGACACATGTTCTCCACTCCCCACGACCATCAGCGCAGCAGCAGCTCAGGATATGGCCTGGTCCCGGATATGGAATCCTTGGGATCATCACGTCGCTGGTCTTGGATCCAATCAGTGACTCCGCCTAATCTGAGGACCTCGGGATGAGTATCCCCAGGTGAAAATAGAGAATAAAGAAAATAATTAGCGTAGCTGCTGTTCATAGTGTATATAAGCAAGATGCAGAAGCCAGTGTGGAACCCGCTAGGTGATGCATTGAGTGTATGCTTTACTAAACAGATAGGTCTTTAATCTAGTTTTGAACTGGGAGAGTGAGTCTGAGCCTCGGACATTACCAGGAAGGCTATTCCAGAGTGTAGGAGCCATGAAAGAGAAGGCTCGACCTCCTTTACTTGATTTTGCTATTCTAGGTACTACCAGAAGCCCTGAATTTTGAGATCTTAAGGAGCGAGTTGGTTCGTAGCGAGACAGAAGGTTGGTTAGATAAACAGGAGCTAGATTATCTAGAGCTTTATAGGTGAGAAGTAATATTTTAAATTCAATACGAAATTTAACAGGCAGCCAGTGTAAGGAGGATAAAATTGGGGTTATATGATCATATTTTCTAGACCTGGTCAGAACTCTGGCTGCTGCATTTTGTACTAATTGAAGTCTGTTAATAGAGGATGCTGGGCAGCCAGCAAATAGAGCATTACAGTAATCCAGCCTCAAAGTCATAAAAGCATGGACTAGCTTTTCTGCATCTGAGATGGATAGCATATTTCGTAATTTAGCGATATTTCTCAGATGAAAGAAGGCAGTTTTTGTGACATGGGATATATGGTTTTTAAAAGTTAGATTGCTGTCTAATATGACACCCAAATCTTTTATAGTAGAGCTAAAGCTAACTTTGTATCCCTCTAATTGTAAATTGAGTTGCGAGATCAGCTGTGTGCAAGATTTAGGCCCAATAAGTAATAATTCTGTTTTGTCTGAGTTTAAGAGAAGAAAATTGTTGGTCATCCAGTCTTTGATGTCTTTGATACACTCAGTTAGTTTAGAAAGTTCAGACGTCTCGTCAGGTTTAGTGGAAATATATAATTGAGTATCATCTGCATAGCAGTGAAATTATTAATTAATAATTATTAATTATTAATGCATATTATCAATGCAATGAATCATTTCATGTTATGCATTCCACACACAGATACATGCATTTGCTTAAACATACCTGCTGTCAATTACTGCTAAAATTAGCTGCAGTAAATAGATTTGTAATTGCACTGATGAACCAACACCTTAACAGCCCTTAACCCAGCCATGTCAAAAAACCTGCCCCTATATGATGTAGTTTTACAATTAAAGAGTTAAACCCAGTGGTATCACTGCAGTTTTACCCCAGCCCTAAACAACACTAAATCTAATCTTAGAGCTAAACCAGTCATTAACTGGTAAGACTTTATTTTGATGGCCCCAATTACACATTGTATTGACTAACAGTTGCATTGCAACTACTTGTCATTTGAGTATTAGTAGACTGTCTGCTTAATGTCTGCTGATTCTGCTCCTTCAAGAGACATTTAACTGACTATAAGAAACTTAGCAAGTACATGTCAACTTACACTAACCCCAACCTGACAGTCGGCTTATGATCTAATGAGAATTAGTTGGCATGTAGATGCATGGTAACTTAATTTCAACTATAACGGACCATCAAAATAAAGTAATACCCATTAAAGCATATCATTAACCAGTCCTTAAAACTATCCGTACCACTACAGTTAGTTCATCAATTCCTCCATCCATCCATCCATCCATCCATCCATCCATCCATCCATCCATCCATCCATCCATCAATTGTTTTCTTTTCTTTTATTAAATTGTCTTTCTTTTAAAATAGTTTATTTAACTTTATTTTTCTTACGCAGTTTTGTAAAATGTTATTCCTATAATTTTATCTAACTTATTTATTGATATCATTTGATTTCATTTGGTTACTTTCATTTTATTTTACAAAATTGTGTTCCTTTAATTTTTATAAAATTTTATTAATTTTATTTAATTTTATTGCATTACATATTTTCAATTCTAAAATGTATCTATTTAATTTAAATATTTTTATTTTATTAAATGTTAATCATTTTCTTTCCTTGAATTTTATTCTTTTTCTAATAAAATTTTAATCCCTTTCATATTATTTTTTTTAAATTTTATTATTTTTTTATTTTATGAAATTGTATTTCTTTTAATAATATTAAAACATTTTATGTTGAATTGAAATGTTTTCCATTTATATTATTTAATTTAATTATGCGCATATTATTTTATTTTACTAATTTGTTTTCCTTTAGTTTTATTACATTTTATTCATTTTATTTTTTTTTATTAAATACATTTTTACATTATTTAATTTTATTTTATTCTCTTCATTTTTGTTTTACTAAATATTATCCATTCATTCATTTTCTTTCACCTTAGTCCCCCTTTTTTTTTTTTTAGTCCCTCAGATCTCGCCACAGCGGAATGAACCACCAAGTGTTTCAGCATATGTTTTTCACAGTGGATGCCCTTCCAGCTAAAGTACTGGAAAACAACCTTCTTGCTGTGAGGCCACAGTGCTAACCACCAAGCCACTGTGACACTGTATATTATTTTATTTTATATTATTTAACATCCATACACACTTATTCACACTTATACACTAAAGACCATTTAGCCTA